GGTGCAAATTACTGACCTCTGTCATCATTTTAGGTGGGGGAACTTGCACAATCGGTGGCTGACTAAATACTTTTTTGCCCCACTGTATATCTAAAATGAACACTGCCAAAACAAAACACAATAGGCTGTCTCACAAAAAAGGTGTTGGAGTGACCTAGTAAAAGTCTGGATTTAAATCGGATTGCAGTGTTTTGGCATGACCTTAAATAGGCTATTCATACTATTCATGCAGAATTATTTAAACAGTAAAATTCTTTCTCCAGGTAAGATCACTGTAATATGTGTAGTTTAAACACATATGTGTTTAAACACATAAACTGTTGTGTGAAAATATTGTTAAATATACTCAATTATAATTTCAGATTTGATTGTGACCAATTACTATTTCATATCATTGTTCTATCAAATAAAGCAATTGTTCTGAAGATGTGGTAGGGCATGTTATTTCCCACCATGCCCACAAGGGGGATTCCACGGACTGTACTTAGTGCAGTTGGACCCCTTATAATCAGTTCAGCCAAGCTGGTAGTCACAGTTCAGGGCTCGATCAGATCCATAGTTAATTGCTGCTTGTGTCCCAGTCCTTGATTTTTTTATGACAGAGTTATTAACAACAATTATAATTATTTCCGACTTTCCAGAACCACATGCATACACATATTCTCTGTGCTGCATTTAATAGTAAACCCATCAACACTGTTAGGATTATTTGTCTGCCTTAAGCCTTAGGGGAAAAAGGGAGCACATTCTAACCGATGCACACTCTGTGATTACCACCAAGTGTAGCCAGCATGTTAGTGTAGAGCCTTCACCTTATCAATAATACATTTATTTGCATTTACAGACAGAAGTGGAATGGGAGGATGAAAGGCAGAGAAAACTGGAGGCTAGAGCAGGCAACTAGTCACATCTGAGTCAAATCAAGATGATGTCTCAGATCTCTCTCTTTGAGATGTTTCCAGACAGACAAACAGACAAAAGAATAAGGATAATAAACAAATATCTGACTTAATTAAGATATATGGCATTGTTGCTGGGACATATTTTCTTTTAGACTCTGCTCCAGATGCCACTCTTTTTCTTGATTTTCTTGTCCACAGCCATTAGCTTGAGTCTCTATCAATTTGCTGCTTGGAAGCAGATAAACAGAAAAAAGTAAGTATAATAAACAAATCTGACCAACATTTAAGAAACTGCAATATCTCACCCATAAGTTATCCCTCCGTTATATACAATATTACAAGTGCAGAGTCTCGAGTTTTAAAAGGTTTGCATCAATAAAGAAAAGATCTATTGGAGATGTATAAGTACAAAGGCATATTTATAAACTAGCCATTCAGTCTTGAGAATTATCAAACAAGATGTATATTGTATTAATGGCAAAAACATGAGAAGTTGTAAAGACTGCACTAACTGCGATTCCCCAACTAACTATCATGGAAAAGC